TTTAAGTATATACGCTTTATGACCAATCACATTATCCTGCCTGAGTAGGGGGCTCTATGTGCACATAACAATAGGCATTTAGATTACATAGAGCCGTGTTGTAGAAAAAAAAAACACAATTTCCGCTCTTCATTCTTATGACTTTCCGGGGTATTGTATAATTTATGAATGAGAGAGGGAAAAGGTTCCGCGTGGTTTTTCATTTTTTACACGCTGTCAATACTTTCACTTTCTTCATTGTAATGGTCTCCTTCAAAAATGGTGTCCTGCTGTGAAGCAATTGTGGCCACTTTTGTTGTTACATTTTTATGCTAATATCTTAATGGAGGCATGGCTTTATATATATATATACAGTGGTGGTCACAGAATTAAAACATTTACTGTGGTAAACATTTTTTGATCAGCCCTCGATTCGTTTGAAGTATTTTTGAAAATTTTTTAATTCAGAACACTTCGATATACTGCCCTTAAGAGATTTAGTGTGAAAATAGAAAATTATTGCATGCAATTTTTCCATAAATAACGGTTTTTATGAAAATACATCGACTTTGAAGTGGCCATATAATTAAAACATTGTGTGGGATTTTTTACTTTACTGCATTTTTTGAAAATATTTTTAGAAAAGCTCTTTAATTTAGTTAAATTATGTAAACTAAGCACCGATAAAATCATTTACAGATAGAAATTTTTGAAAAAATCTGTAAAATTAATCAAAATGGCCAAAATTTTGTACAGTACACCTAACATTCAGAAAATCACCCTTATTATAGAAAATAAAGGCCCGAATGCACCAGAAATCGCTAGAATTAGTAGAAAACAATAAATAACTCTCACAATAAATAAATATTTCAAATAAAAACTCAAAAATGGGAATTAACCTAAAGGAACGATTCAATTTCAATAGCCTTTACTGAAGAAGGCCGGAATATTTTTGCAGTATGTGAGAAAAAATCGATTGATATTGGTATTTATTATATCAAATCGACTGTTTGAGTAGTACAGAGTGTATTTTATCAAAAAATATATCTGTAAGAACAGAACGAACAGAGATCAACGCCTAGGTTGACGAGTAAAAGTTTATGTCATGAGTTGACCATGTTTGATGGTCAACTCATGACACTTAAAACCTATTGAACATTACAATATTTTTCCAAAATAATATTTTTTGAATCGAATAACTTCCACTTAATTTATTTTAGTATCAAGAAAGTAAAAATTTTACAGTTTGACAAATATTTGAAGTCTTGTTTTGAACATCAAAAATGCTGCTGTGTGCCAGAAACTTTTACTCGTCAACCTAGGCGTTTATCTCTGTTCGTTCTGTTTTTACAGCCATATTTTTTGATAAAATATAATCTGTACTACTCGAACAGTTGATTTGATATAATAAATACCAATATCAATCGATTTTTTCTCACCTACTGCATAAATATTCCTTACATCTTAAGTAAAGGCTATTGAAATTGAATAGTTCCTTTAGGTTAATTCCCATTTTTTGAGTTTTTATTTCAAATATTTATTTATTGTGAGAATTATTTATTGTTTTCTACTAATTATAGCGATTTCTGGTGCATTCGGGCCTTTATTTTCTATAATAAGGGTGATTATCTGAATGTAAGGTGTATTGTACAAATTTTTGGCAATTTTGATATATTTTACAGATTTTTACAAAAAATTTTATCTGTAAATGATTTTATCGGTGCTTAGTTTACATAATTTAACTAAATTAAAAAGCTTTTCTAAAAATATTTTCAAAAAATGCAGTAAAGTAAAAAATCCCACACAATGTTTTAATTATATGGCCACTTCAAAGTCGATGTATTTTCATAAAAACCGTTATTTATGGAAAAATTGCATGCAATAATTTTCTATTTTCACACTAAATCTCTTAAGTGCAGTATATCGAAGTGTTCTGAATTAAAAAATTTTCAAAAATACTTCAAACGAATCGAGGGCTGATCAAAAAATGTTTACCACAGTAAATGTTTTAATTCTGTGACCACCACTGTATATATATATATAACAATGTAATATTGTAAAATCTTGTTGAGTGTGTCGAAGATATTATTATAGCTCCGTATGCCAAAAAAAAAAAAAATAAACTTTGTAAAATTTATTCTTTTGTTTGCTATAAAATAATAGCTAATTGTAAAAAAAGTAATAAAAAAATATTTCAAAAAGAATTTATGAAACTTTTTCTTCAACTTTGGTTTTGGCGTTGAAATTAAATTTATGATTTGCTTTTCTTTGCATACTTTTGGGCGTTGATGGACATTAAATTTCTTTCGTTGATTTAAAGCTTTATAAAACGTGTTATAAATAATGTAAATGAAGTATAGAATACAAATTAGATACAAGTGTAAAATATAGTGAGAGACAGACCCTATACAAGTCGTCATGGCTTGGATGTTACGAATTTTTAGTCCTATTTTAACAATAATAATTCTGCACTTTGGAACCTGAAAATACTGCTAAAATTACTACAATTTTTCATTTGTATTTCATTACTCAAACATTTAAATAACCGATCTTAAAAATTCTCCTCAATTTTTAAAGCCTACATTTAGGCAATTCATTTAATGTCCACTTTAAATATGTTGCTGCTCACTTTTTGGTGCCACAACTAATTCTCATTTTGTTATTGCCTGATAAAATTTTAACATTTTGACTTTTGTCTCAATTTTTTTCGGTTCTTCATATCTATTACATGCCACCAACGTCCACCATTGCTATCTAATTCAGGCATCTAACAATTTATTTGGTTGGTTATTTCAATGTTGGTCCCCAACCATTCCCCAGGGCACAGATTTAATTAAAAATTCAATGTACCATTGGCTTCAAAACGAATTGTTGGTTTCATTTTTCTCTGACTGTAATGTAAATAAGCTCGCTCGTTAAAAATGCGAGTCAATAAAGGAAAAGGCAAATACGCACACACACACACACACACAATACAAACGGCAGAGGAAATTTCATTAAACAGCAGCCACAACAACAGGCAGCAACGGGAGCAGCAGCAACTACAACATCGTTGTAATCATTAAATCGATGAGCAATGTAATAAAGAATTTTCAGTACTGAATTCAGAAATCACAGCAATGAATTGAATTAATGTTTCAATTTAAAAGAGGCGAAAGGCGGAATTTTATTTTATAATTAAAAATTAATGAAATAATTAAAATAAAGTGAAATAAATTGTAATGAAAATGGAAATATTCTTTAATAATTCCAGCAGCCTGTTAGGATCTAAGAAAAATATTCTTTAATAATTCCACGCCTGTTAGGACCTTTGAAAAATATTCTTTAATAAATCCACGCCTCAGTTGGCCCTTGAAAAATATTCTTTAATAAATCCACGGCTGTTAGGACCTTCGAAAAAATATTCTTTAATAAATCAACGGCTATTTTGGTCCTAGAAAAAATATTCTTTAATAAATCCACAGCCGTTAGGACCTTCGAAAAAATATTCTTTAATAAATTCACGCCTATTAGGACCTTAGAAAAAATACTCTTTAATAAATCCACGCCTTATTGTCCTTCGAAAAAATATTCTTTAATAAACCCACGGCTGTTTTGGTCCTAGAAAATATATTCTTTAATAAATCCACAGCTGCCTTAGACCTTAGAAAAAATATTCTTTAAAAAATCATTGACATTTGGTCCTGTCTCAGAGTTAGTGCTATTTCACATTTAATATGACGATTGTCTATCCCACACACTCTATATCCTATTTTCCTAAAATAAAATTGAGTTGCTTTACATTACTCCCAGGAATAAACAATTTCATATTTTCCAATTAGAAATTGCCTACTTTTGGGCTTGGTAGCAAGCAAACCAAAAATGGTGCAGGGTTTTATGTGTGTTTTGGAAAATGTCAAACTTTTAATTAAATTCTAGGCTTAATTTGTAACAATGTTGATGCTAGAGTTCCGTTGTGTTGTGGTGTTGTTATTGTCCTGTTATAAACATCTGTTTAATTTAACTTTTCTATAAACACCTCCCACTTCTCACATGCCAATGACACGAGCACACACACACTCACACACAAATAAATATAATTAAAATGCTTAATAGGAAAATTTATTAAATTATAAAATTTAATATTATTCGAGGCTTTCTAATAAATAAATATTACCTCTTGGAATTGGGTTTTAATTGTGCATAATTGGCTTTTTAATTTGGGCTTCATTTTTTTCTCAAAAATACCCTTAAGAACTATATTTTTTTGTTCTGAGAATATTTTAATAGGTAATAAAATTTAGAGAAGAATTTAAGATTTTTTTTTTGGAAAATAGATTGGGTCAAATTTGAAGAAGTGTTAGGCAGAGTATGAAGAATATTAAATTTGAATTTAAAATTTCCTTGGAAAATATTTTCTTTACAAATATCTTCTTTAATAAATCCACGCCTGGCTGGTCCTTGGAAAATATTTTCTTTAATAAATACACGCCTGGCTGGTCCTTGGAAAATATTTTCTTTAATAAATCCACGCCTGGCTGGTCCTTGGAAAATATTTTCTTTAATAAATCCACGGCTTGCTGGCAGTTCGTTGGAAAATATTTTCTTTAATAAATCCACGGCTGGCTGGCAGGTCCTTGGAAAATATTTTCTTTAACAAATTCACGCCTGGCAGGTCCTTGGAAAATATTTTCCTTAATTAATCCACGGAAGGATGGTCCTTGAAAAATATTTTCTTTAATAAATCCACGCCTGGCTGGTCCTTGAAAAATATTTTCTTTAATAAATCCACGCCTGGCTGGTCCTTGGAAAATATTTTCTTTAATAAATTCATGCCTGGCTGGTCCTTGGAAAATATTTTCTTTAATAAATCCACGCCTGGCTGGTGCTTAGAAAATATTTTCTTTAATAAATCCACGCCTGGCTGGTCCTTGGAAAATATTTTCTTTAATACATTCTCTTAGACATTCACACTCTCCATCCTTAAATATTCAACACATATTAAATAGATGTTCTCCCTCTTTCTCTCCCTCTCCTTTCAGGTCTGTGCCATACAACATGTGGATGTGTGTATGTTCAATAATGGCAAATTTAAAAATGTGGTTGCCGATTCCGACACACAATCACCACCGCCCATAGATCGCACCGTACCACCGGGAGGTACCCTCAACACCACTGTCACCCTAAAACCTCAAAGAGGACCTACCAAAAATTGGATCGCCTTAGAGGACACATTACAAAGAAGCACTGAACCTGATGAAATTACCGGCGCCATAGCTGCCTCTGCTGTGCGCACACCACACTTCCTAATGCAAGCAAATCATTCACCAAACTTTTGTTCCAGTCCGGCAGTGTTTGTGCCACCACTGCCAACAGCAGCCGGCAGTGGTTCCAACCCCGCCACAAATGATGAACGTAATGTTTTCGCCATTTATGTTTCCTATTATGTTAAGGTCAAACTGACCCTTTCCGGTATGGGTGGTGAGTTGTCGCTGAAGTTACCATTTGTCCTGGTACACATTGATGAGGAACAGCGCCATCTAAGTGAAATGCAAATGGAAAAGTTGGCCTTAGATGATGTACCGGCTGGTAAGAAAAATGGCAATAAAACCAAACCACCAGCATCGCCGAACAAAATTGAGACCAGCCAAGAATTTGCTGTCAGCCATAGCCTAGATCGCATAGAGTCCGTAGATGATGAAAATATCCACATAAAAGTATCCCATGTCAATAGCACCGGCAGTAATGCCAGTGGTTTAATGACCTGCCCGGAAGATGAACAACCCTCTACCAGTTCATCGGCCACAAATCGTAGACGTCAATTGATACGCAGCGAAACAATAGCCAAGGACTTGGATGAAGACCCCTTAACGACGGCGGCGGAACTTGCGGGTGGAGAACATGTGGTGCATGTTGCCCAAGTCCATAGTGCCAATAATGTGCCAAAATTTGAAGAAACTTCCACAGAAAAAGATCACATACAAATGGAACATAAGAGTGTCTCTCCACAGGTCTCACACGAATTGACCGTAAATCAAATCCACGAGCTGCACTCGGCGAGAGAACACAAAAGTGGCGGTGAGGAGACAACCGCTTCCAATGGAGTGTGATTTCGATTATTACGTCAAATATTTCAAAAAAAGAAAAATGGTTAAGGTGACTCTAAACACAATTAAATTTTAATAAAAAAGGAACATATGGGGTTCTCCATAGAAAGAAGAAAATGGACTTCTAAAAGGAAGCACATAATCACAATTAATTTAAAAAAGAGAAATAATATATTCGGTTTCCTATAAAAGAAATTGGGATTCCGAATAGGAGATACGAATGAAATTTCAAATAGGAAATTCTGATTTTGAGGAATCCCATTGTTGTCATGTTGATGCTAATCATTTTAAGCAGTATTATCTCTGAGTAAGATATACTTATGTTCCCGATATGGAATCTTCAACCAGTATTTCTACATCAATACAAGAACATCATGGTTTCAATGTACCACAAAAATAAACATATCCAAAAAATTAATCTGAGCAACTGCGAATTTATTATAAGATGATAAAACACTCATACATACAAATAACTCATACATACAAACAACCATAAAAGCTACGCACACAACGGAAACAGTTTAGAAAAAAATTGCAATATCCCAGTAGGTAATGTTGATAGAAAGTCTGTAATGACTTCCAACTACATACAGGTCACATTAATTGTCCAATTGAGGCCGAAGGGCGAACCCAATTGTCTACCAATTTAATGGTGTACAAAGTGTACCGAATTGAGTCTAGATGAACATAAGATAAGTTTGATTTTTATAGGTTAAATTTTATATGTAGGTCCTACATATAATTTTGTCCGATTTCATGTAAATGGTGTGCCAAGCGAGAACTTCTCTGGTAGGTAAATCTTCATATTTTTATTAAAATTTCGGTATTTTGGGAACTATGGACACGTTGTTCAACAATGTCCTTAAAAAATTATAAGTATTGGTTTTAGTTACGCTCTAGGTCCCACATAATGGTATATTGACCGGACAAAACTTGTTAAAGCCTCCACCATGAAGCGAACATCCAAATTATATAAAATCGATCGGGACACTTATAAGGGAAGCTATGTAATGTTATATTGCTGTCAGAAGAAAATGACTGCAGACACTCAAGTTGAAACATTAAGCTATGACCTTGAACATTCGGAATGTCCGATTTGGGCCAAATATGCACCGTTTTGTTGTTGTATGATTTGTTGCCATTTTAAATTTTTTATCATTAAAGAAATTTTGCAACGGAAGAAAAGATGATAATCGCTTGGTGCCAAGTTTGGACTGTTTGGCGGATGCATTAAAACTTCCCAACTAAGCTCCCGAAGTTTCTTGAGAGTCACTGTCGATGTGTGCGGCCTAGCGTTGCCCTGGTGGAACACGACATCTCTCTTGTTGGCCAATTCAGGCCGTATTTATCTACATTTAGAGGATCCCTTATTCAGAGCCACTGTTCTTTGTTCTTCGGAATCTTGTACTGACCACAACCAGTTTCGGGTTTGAGGTATGAGAATAAACGCAAAATGAGCTAGAATCGTTTCAGTATTGTATTAGGGATGTACTTGAATAAAAATTAAAGGAAAATTCGACATCTACATGAGCAGAGCAGTATAATCGGAAGGGGCCACACACCAAGAGAATTTTAAATATTCATAGAAAGGAGTAGCTACCATAAGAGAACCCAAGACAAGTTATCGTATATGTGTGCGGTACTTATGAATGGGCATATTTATGGTCACTAATGAGATTTCTAAAAAACCAACCAACATGTAGCCACGTCAGCAACAAAAAACATAGAATTTCCCCTTCCCCCCTAAGTTGAATGAAAAGCACAAACAACCATAACAGAACCCATAGGAGATCGTGTTTATTGATATACACAACTTCCTTCAAATAGCCCCACAAAAGAAGTCTGGAGGGGTCAAATCTGGTGAACGTAGAGGCCAAGCAAAATCACAATTTCTGGAAATTATTCGAATAGCATATTGTAGGCGTATCTTGGGGGAGGCAGTTGCTGCCCCATTTGAATTTTATACGGAAACATTTTAAGAACCCGCTTGAAAATTCTTTGCAGGGATGTTCTGGAGATTCCCAATTGAGTACAACGACGACGAGTAGAGACATCATGTTGTGGCTGGGTGCTGTTCGAACATTAAAATTACGACGATACTTTAGTTGAGTTGTAATAATTGACCATCCAAAAGAATAAAAAAAATCAATGATTTTGACGGGTTTCTGCATATTATATGTAGCCATGATTTACCTCCAAAAACCAGTAAATAACCAGAAAAAGACAAAAAAAAATATTAAAAACAAAAAATATATAACCATTTTTAATCCTTCAGTCTTTTTTGGGCCACCCTGTATATGTTTACCCCAGAAGGACGTAGAACGGACATGTTATGGCGTACTGCGGGAAAGAATGACCAGTATAAATATGGATTTTTAATCTAGTATAAAATCTTTTGTTGCAAGACGAAATTACCGCACCAGAGAATATAAGTATCACGAAATTTTGATCCGCAAAATGTTAAAGTTCAATGGTAGTTGTGTAATGTATCATATGTTCGGCCCAGTCTGACTCCACTTTTCTGATCACTGGTTTTGTTGAAAGGTTGTGTGCTTCTCGGGGAAATTATAAGGTTTGCGTGTGCTTCTTTAAAACTCAAATGAAATAAATAGGTAGAAGTTCAAAGCTCCTACTAGCGGACATCATTTCTGAGATAAAAAGGTAAACTACAACTGATGATGGACATTTTCTGTGAAGAAGCTGTTTACCCACCAAGGTCCCGGAAAGTCACATTACAGCAAATAAATAGTCACATCGATTTGAAAATACATCTAGAACTGTCAAAATGTCTATAACTAAACTAACATTCCCATAGAAAGATTTTCAACACAGTAAGAACTGAAAATATCAAATTAGAGCCTGCTTAGTTGGTTGGGGGTCCCCTGGAGTACGGACGGAATGACAAATAGACCCCACATTATGGTGGATGGTATAAAAATTAATGATAGACAACACTCTGATTTCTGACTAAATAAACTTCCAGTTGTGGATGTGTGCAATGCTTCAATAACAGTCTTTAAAAAAAAAACACAAAGAACTAAAACTAAATTCAAATGATAAAAGGTATTTTTTGAAAACAGAAAATATATACAATAGTCTTATAGGTATAAGAAACTATGCTGCTTTAAAATAAAATATAATTCAATTCTCGAGAATGTATAAAATATTTTACAAAAAAGGAACATAATTGTATTGGAAAATAAAATAGTTGAATTATCGAAGTATTAAAAACAAAAATATTTTTAAAAATTTAATAAAAAAAAAACTATGATTTATAGAAACAAAAAAAAACAGAACAGAAACCTAACCTAAAATGCTTTATATGTTTTTAAGAAACACACACACAAAAAAACTCAAATCAATGTCAAAAAGTTACTATGAAACTGCTTATCTATATATTAATATAGAAAAAATAAATATTTTTTAAGTAAAAATTAATGCAAGCTTGTTTATTCTGTTTTTGTACAAATGAATGTGATGCACTTTTTGGAAATTGAAAAAAACCTATAATAATAATTCAATACATATATTATAAATAATATACGTATTAAGCCTATATCCCAAGAGCTGGACTCCTGTTGAACTATATGATCTAAATATTTTAATTGCAATAACAGATGCACTTCTTTCAAGTACTTTTTTTTTAATAATACTGTTAAGGCTGGCTTATTGACCCTACTCCAAATATATACTGGAAATTATTAATTTTTAATACTATAAAGCCCGTGGTTATGTTCGGCCGGGACATGGATTATTTCCACTCTTTTGCCATGAGATTGACATCACGTTTCATTGGACGCTTAGAGAAATATTGTAGTTTCGGCACTGTTGCCAAAAACCCCGTTGGACGCCACTGTTTCGAAATAAAATCTCTTGTAAATAAAAATATAGACTAAGAATATAAAAAGCAAAGCTGTGTTTAGACTAAGAAAATAATAAATATACTCAATATCCCTTAAAGAAAAATCTATAAGAAAATAAATATGAATTGTTTAGTATTTCTGTTTCTCTAAAATGCATAACTATTTTTTTTATTTTCCGTTCAAAATACTTATACTAAGTTTGAAAATTGTTAAAGAAATAAAAATATGGAAATCATAAATAATTTATGTGGGTCCTGGAATCGATTAATGATAAAATGATTCGTTTAATTTGGTTAAAATTAAATCGAACTCCCTGATTTTGAATTTTACAAAAACATATTGGAAGTTATATGCATAATTTTTATTATTAAAGTTTTGTGATTGAAACACATAAATCCTTATATATAAATATTTTAGTCCTAATAGCAAGTATATATAATTTCTAAATGTTTATTATCCTTTTTTACGTACTTATTTTATTTCATTTTCCGATTTTTTAATGACTGACAAAACCCCCTGCAAATTTCTACACTAATTGACTATAAATGTTACTAGATAAAATAATATTATAATAAAAAAACACAATGATAATTATAAATTTTAGCCAGTCAGTACAGCATAAATATAAAATAGACAAATATTTGCAAAAAATATTATACAATATTGTCAGAAAAAAGAATTAAATGTATTAATTTACAGATATAAAAACCTAAAAAACAAATATTGTTATTATGACAAAAAAATAAATAAATAAAAGTTGAATACAAAAATAATTATCGTTTTATTTTTAAGGTACGAACTTATAGAATGTGCTTAAACAGTAATGCTTTAGTTGTTCATTAAGTTGGAGAAGTTATCAGTGTCGTCACAACGTATACGCTACAGTGGTCCCCATTGAAACCTCCGGGCCTTGAAACCTCGTACCTACATTAGATGAAGCTACCTGAATTAAATCCTAATGCAGGTACGATTTTATGGCCGAATGTCGACCTATTTTAAATCTAAGAACTAATCGTATTACAAAAGTCATATCGAAAATTTGGAGGCTGGCTTAATCTGTGTATCACCATTCATGGGTGAAATTATGCTGTATAAAATACTTATTTTAATAAGGAAATGTGTGTTTTAACTTTTCAATTG